GGAGCTGCCACTACCTGGGCTGCCTAGAAATGGAGTCCAGTCACAGAGCCACCCCGGCCCCACTGCGCTCCCGGGGGCAGCAGGACGCACCATGGGTCAGACAGTGCCTAGACCAGGTAGGTCTGAGGAACCTGCCAGAGGCTGGATAAAGTCCCTCCACAGGTTGGATCCAGCCTGTGGGTCATATTTTCCCCACCCCTGATCTAGTATCGTCTCCCAACAGTGGCAGTAGTAGATGTATAGAGGGAGAACATACGAACAGGGCATATCTAGAGTGATCCATTCCAAGTTGTGTCCCTTCTGGCACCCACCATCAATGGTTTAGAGATGTCACAGAATGTATCCCTAACTGTTCTATTCATGAACCTGTCTTCCATTAATTTGTCTAAGCTTTTTTTTCAACCTGGTTGCACTACCTGCCTTTACAACCTCTTGTAGCAAGAAGTTCTGTGTACTAATAAGGGGCTGAGTGAAAAAGTACTTTCACCTGTGTTAGTTTCAGTGGGTGCCTCTAGTTCTCGTACTCTGGGACCTGGAGTGTAGCAGTTCCCTATTTACTTCATCTATACCCTTCAGGATTTTCTAGACCTCTATGTTATCCTTCCTGAGCCTTCTTTCCAGACTGAAGGTAAACACATCCATGATGCTAAAGATTCCTTCCACTCACCTAACAGACCACCCTGAAGTGGATCTAGCAGAAGACATCTTGAGTGGGACCTTTGTTTAAAATCCATAAGAGTCTTGCCTATGCTAAGGTCATGTAAAAAACCCAACACAGAACATATAGGAACTAAGATAAGACTTCTTAATTACAACCAATGGTCTGACAAAGGGTAAAAGATTTAACTAAACCTTATGCACTACACAACACATTGAAACCCCCCGTCAAAAAGTGGTATTAATCGTGACCCAATTTAGCAAAGTTAGAATATTCAAAATTGAATTTTACTTTCATAGACAAGCATTCATTTGATTTCTGGGAAAACTATGCAGTATGGTTTTATCATGCTAATAATTTCACAACAATGTTAATTTCAAAAGTTGAGAAAGTGGATTTTTGTGGTAAAGCGCTTCACGCATAAATGATGCATTACCTGTAGTTCTTGCAAAATTGAAGCAGCCTCTTTCACGTCACCATTCTGTTCTTTTATCGTCGCAAGAGTCTTCGTTAGACGAGCACGCTCAATTTCCACATATATCTGGAATTAATGAAAACTCTACAATTTAAACTCATTAACTACCTGTTTATACTCCCCTAATGTTATCGATTAAATGATTAACCAATAATATGCATCTACTGGGAACTGGCCCCTGCCTGTACTCACTTGTTCTCCAAGTGGCAGCAGCGGGCTGGAAAAAACCCTCACCTGCTGCTGCCAACAGTGCATGGCTACCTGGGGGCCGGGCAGGGCCAGGGTCAGCTTCAGGCAGCAGTGGTGAGCCCCGCCACAGTCCCTGTGAAGTCATGGATGGAAGCAGCAAGCGGGGTTGCTGGCGGCAGGTGCACACAGGCCTCAGGGCCAACGGAGTGGAAGCCATGAGGGGCCCAATCTTTCTTATGGCAGTGCATTCCCAGCCCCTTCCCTGCTGTCCATCCCAAGGTGCGTGTGTACCTGCAGCTGCCAATGAGCCAGGCTGGGGCTCTGCTGACCTGGGTGCAGCTTCTTGTAGCCCCCCTGCCGCCAGCAGCTCAGGCTTCATGGCAGGAAGCCAGGCCCTACCCAGAGCTTGGGCCGGCTGTAGCAGGTGGCCAGGAGGCTTCAAACAGCTGCATCAGGGTCCACAGAGCCCCAGTCCAGCTTGCTGCCGGCAGTGGGTACACATGTGCCTCAGGACAGACAGTGGAAAAGGGGCCAGGACTGCACTGCCACAAGAAGGATAGGGCCCCTCACAGCTCCCCCACCACTTCCCAGCCATAGTAGCAACTGGTGCCCCCTCTCTTCCTCCTACCTGCCCTGCTGCCTTCAGGGGCACAGCACCACTTCCTTTCCCCACTTTCCTGCCGGACTGCTCCCTGCCCCAGGCTAAACAATAACCAGTAAGGTATTACTGGCTATCATTTCATAGATTTCATAGACATCAGGGCTGGAAGGGACCTCGGAAGATCATCGAGTCCAGCCCCCCGCCCAAAGGGCAGGAAGTCAGCTGGGGTCATAGGATCCCAGCAAGATAAGCATCCAGTTTCATCTTGAAGGTGTTCAATGAAGGCGCTTGAACCACCTCTGGTGGCAGGCTGTTCCAGACCTTGGGGGCTCGGACAGTAAAGAAATTCTTCCTTATGTCCAGCCTGAAACGATCTTGAAGTAGTTTGTGACCATTCGACCTCGTCATCCCTTGGGGTGCTCTGGTGAACAAACGTTCCCCCAGATGCTGGTGGTCACCCCTGATAAACTTGTAGGTGGCCATCAGATCACCCCTGAGCCTGCGCTTTTTCAGGCTAAAGAGCCCCAGGGCTCTCAGCCTGTCATCGTAGGGTCTGCTTCCCTGACCTCTGATCATGCGCATGGCTCTTCTCTGGACTCTCTCAAGCTTCTCCACATCCTTTTTGAATTGTGGAGCCCAAAACCGGACACAGTACTCCAGCTGCGGCCTCACTAAGGCCGAGTACAGGGGGAGAATGACGTCCCGGGATTTGCTTGAGAAGCATCAATGGATGCAAGCCAGCGTTTTGGTCGCTTTACTAGCCGCCGCATCGCATTGCAGGCTCATGTTCATCTTGTGGTCAATGATGACCCCCAAGTCTCTTTCTTCCATAGTGCTAGCCAACATAGCACTGCCGAGCCTATAAGGATGCTGCGGGTTTTTTTCCCCAAGGTGGAGAACCTTGCATTTATCGGCGTTGAACACCATCAGATTCTCATCCGCCCACTTGCTGAGCCTGTCCAGGTCAGCCTGGATAACCTGCCTGTCTTCTGGTGTGGATGCTTTGCCCCAAAGTTTGGTGTCATCGGCGAACTTGGCCAGTCCGCTTCTGACTCCCGTGTCCACATCATTAATGAAGATGTTGAACAGTATGGGTCCAAGGACAGAGCCTTGGGGGACCCCACTGGTCACAGGACACCATGATGAGCGACTTCCATCAATTACTACCCTCTGGGTCCAACCCCGGAGCCAATTTTCCAGCCAGTGGATCGTGGAGGACCCAAGGCGACAATTGGCCAGTTTCTCCAAGAGGCGATCATGGGACACCAGATCGAAGGCTTTTTTGAAGTCAAGATATATGACATCAATCTCTTCTCCCTTGTCCAGGTGATAGGTCACCTGGTCATAGAAGGAAATGAGATTGGTCAAGCAAGACCTACCCGCAACAAACCCGTGCTGGCTATCCCTTAAGATGTTGGCGTCGGCCAGTCCATTAAGGATGGCCTCTTTAATAAACTTTTCTAAGATCTTCCCCGGGATAGAAGTCAGGCTGATGGGCCTATAGTTAGCCGGATCCACTTTCCTCCCTTTCTTGAAGATAGGCACCACATTGGCCATCTTCCAGTCTTCGGGCACTACACCAGAGCTCCAAGAGTTCATATCAATATATGAATGGTTAAATATTTAAATGTCTTGAAAGAAAAATCCTTACCTTTCCTTCTGTAACCATACGCAGTGTGTCAATTAATCGCAGTTTGATTGGTAGGTCTGTAATCTCTTCAACATAAGTACAGCACTGTTGGACCATTTTAGCAACTGCCTGGTATGAAAAACAGAAAGCAAGATATTACTACATTTTTACATTTCTGAAAGTGTGTTAAGAAATAAGCTATGGGCATATGTATAAAACATTATGCTAATATCAAACTGAACAGACTCAAACCCAAGCTAAGTGGGTAGGGGTTTATCATCACTTCCACCAAGCCTAAGCTTGAGAGAGCAGATGTACCTTACACAGCATTATATAAAATAAGATGAGAATCTGAGTCAAGAAGTCAAATGCTCTGCTGCTTTATTGCTCATCTCCCGATTTGTGCTCAAGAACTCTCTTGCAAACAACCCTTCTTTTGCCAAATCAAAGTGTCTACAGTGTTGACTGGAAAGAGCCTAGCTGTTTGTTAAAGAGTCTCTGTGGGTTAAATGAAATTATTTAGAGTACAGCCTGTTTTCCAGAAAGAAAAAAAAAACATTGTGTTCTTTTTACTGATGTTCTTTTCACATATGCTGGATTTAAAGCAGCTTTTTCAGATTCCTTACTGGCCTTAAGCTACTGTGTTCAAGATGAAGAATATGTTTTAGAATGTATTTTGGCAACAAGTCTGAGAATATTTTAACAATACTTTTAAAAATTACTCTTCTCTGTAAACCAGAATTGATACTTATTCAACTCTACTACAAAAGCTGCGAAGAAGCCGGTACAGGAGGCAGCCTAAAAAAAACCATACCAACAAACCACCATATGGGCACACATTTTACTGACTAAAAGTATGAAAACCTATAGCTCAAAATAAGATACACAAGAAAAGCACAGAAATAGGTAGGATCCTCTTAATTTTAATGATCAATTTTTAACAAATCTGACAAAGAAAGAGTAAGACGACAAAACTACCACCCAAATTTCTTTTAAAAAAAGTAAGCCAAAGAGACTTGTCATCCAACAGCACAGCTTCCCCCTTCTCTCTAAACCTCCTCCTTCCCTAGTCACATGTCATTTGGCAGTAATTCTTACAAAAAAAATATAAGCAATGACTGATACGTGCTAGGCACCTTGCCACATTCTTTGGAGAAAGACGACTGTACAGTACTCAACTTACACAAAAGTACCAATACTTTCTAGTATTGGAAAAGCAAATATCCATCTTATTTTCCTGAAGTTCTGACACCATTAAATCTGCCAGACTTCTAATTAAGTAGTCATATTAAACATGCATCCTATAAAGGAAGTGTGATAAACTTGATAGTCTATACTTAATGTCTATACCCTTTTCATCCAAAATGCATTAGACAATTCTGACAGCTGGTTCCAAAGGTTGACAGAAATAAAACTGCATTCTCAAGTGAAGGATTAATCTGTTTGAGCATAACAAATTTACAATTCTGTTTAAATCTCACACTTTACAGGCCAAACTTAGGATACACATACAATTTAAAAGATATCCAAGCTACTTTGATAACAAAGCAGTTTAGCCACAGTAGCATGAAACTCCCTCTAGGCTAATTAACCCTGCTAAGAAAGTGGTAAATTACATACGGGTTCCAGCTGCCACAGATAAAAGACTTCCAGTACCTATGTAAGCATGGGGATCTCTAAGCTTTACTGCATTCTGCATTGTAGACATATGGTCAAGCATCAGTTTTAGCAAGTGCCTTCTGGAAAAAGTCAGGTCGTGATAAAAACGATCAAATTCCTGGCTTACTGTAATGCTGATATTTGTGTTGTACTATACATTAAATATCTTAACTCCTTTATTTTTCTTCTCAATGCAGGTTTTAAAAGGAAAACACATACAGCTAAAGTTCTTTCAAAAAGTATATTTCCTCCATCAAGACTCAGTTTTGCACTGACATTTACAACTACTAGGACAGAACTGAGATGATCAGCTTTCATGATTCAAAAGACAAAAGCTGATTACCAGCTAGAGTCAAGTAGCAATATCCACTGTAACAGAGCATATTGCTGCTTATCTAGGTGGATAGGTCATACAAGCTAGAAACTGTTTTCTGATTTTAAATATAAAAGCAGGTGTATAACATATATACATGCCACTAACATTCCAAGGCAAAATCTAACAATTATCCATGTTTAATTGTTACTTCAAATTAGCCATTTGATCCATTTAAGCATGTAAGCAGAAGTTACTAGCAAACCTGCTTCATAAAGGCCAAGTCATTCTTGACCAACACACTGCCTACCATTTTGGCTTATCCAAGTCTCATGAAAGAAGGTAATAATCTTAACAATCAGGACATCACACATTCTTGATAGTCAGCAATTTAATGACTCACACCTTGTCAGACGGAAAATTGTCTTACTAGTAAAGAAAGCAGTATTAGTGATTTGGGTTCATTTTCTGCTTCGGGCCAGGCGCAGTAGAAAATATACTGGAAATAAGAGTTGGTTCTCCTCAACACCAAATTAAAGAACCTGGGGTAGCTATTGCCTGCCTCCTCACCAATATATCTTGACATTAGCAAATCATTTCTGTAGGGGGCAGATCAGAGCAGGGCTCTCTATTTCATGATCCAGTGACATGATTGTGACAAATCTGGTCCTGTCAATAATAAACAGATTAGGAAGTAAAGAAAGGAATTAGAGGGAAACTGAAAAGGACAGACTTGATTACTCTGTATATCACCAAGAGGATGCAGAAATTTGAACCAAATAAAAATGGACTTATGCAAGATGACCACAAAGGAACAGGAAACTAAGAATATACTTTATCATGCATAGATTTCTGGTATTTCAGGAGACCTGTAGAGAATATTGTCTGGATGATTTAAAAAACAAACAAACCTAGATACAGACAATAAGGTTGAAGATACCCAAATAAGCATGAGTGCTAGTTATTAGAATTCTAAATCTAGATATATGAGGATGCAGTGAAGAAAATTAGCAGATACTCAAGCATCAAGCAGAACTATGACAGACTTAGTAAAGAATGAGAACTAATATAAAACATTGAATACAGTACTTAAACACTGCGTTTAAAATGAAAGATGCTGAAGAGAGATGCCAGACAGCAACAGAAATAACAAATGACTGTAAAAGTTAAGTGTTAGTCTATTCAGAATTATATGGGGACAGACAAGACAGTCAATGTACAGAAGGGAGAATAATAAACATAGCATAACACTGTTCTTTCCCAACAGCTGCATTTTAATTTGTTTGCTTGTACAAAAAGTTTGAATGTACCTGTTTTAATTGACTTCTTCTCTTGGACAGAAGAATAATATTTTCATTAAGAGCATCCCAGTCTTTAGCTTCATAACACATTTTCACTATAGCAACTAAGATACGAGACGTGGAAACCATGTCAGACGCCTGTAACAAAGAGGACCATTAATCAAACACAAAACCTCAGCTATAATACCACTATTTGTGTCTTCACAAAGACACGGTAAACCCATTATAATTTTACTCTCCCACCACTTCCAAGAGAAAGAGAGAACACAACAGAGCCAGACATCTCAGTTCTCTCCTCCCCAACACCTAGCAAAGGTACAAGGAAAAACACAGTACAGATTGAAAACCATGAACAAATCTCCCTGTTGCAAAGTGTTTTTTACTTACTGTTCGCGTCTGTTTTTCCAAGGACAGTAGGTTTTCAATTACTTCTTGCAGTCTTCCTTCCTAATATGATAAACAAACAGTATTAGAACAGACAGGCTACAGATACAGGTGGACCTAGACAGGCTGGCAAGTTGGGTGGATCGGAATCTGATGGAGTTCAACATCAAGAAATGTAAAGTGCTCCACCTCGGGATGAGCAACCCCAACACACCTACAGGCTTGGTGGCACCAAACTGACTTGCACCACAAATGAAAGGGACCTGGGGGTAATAATAGACCACAGTATGAATATGAGACAGCAGTGCGATGTTGTAGCCAGCAGGGCAAATAATACTCTGGCATGCCTCAATCGATGCATCTTCAACAAAACCAAGGAGGGGATTCTTCCACTCTACTCAGCACTGGTGAGACAGCAGCTGGAGTACTGAGTCCAGTTCTGGACACCAAACTTCAACAAGGACGTGGTAAAGCTTGAGAGAGTCCAGAGAAGAGCTACCTGTATGATCAGAGACTTGCACAGCAAGCCATACAAGGAAAGGCTGAGGGACCTGGGATTCTTCAGCCCGGAGAAAAAAAGGCTGAGAAAGGACCTGGTAGCAGCTTACCACTACACTAGGGGAGCACATCAAGGGCACCTGAGGGGAAAACCAGGAGTAATGGCCACAAACTCCTGGAAGATTGATTCAGGCTCAACATTAGCAAAAACTTCTTCACAGTCAGGGTGTCCAGACTGTGGAATAAGCTCCCTCCAGAGGTGGTGCAATCACCTACCCTGGAAATCTTCAAGAGGAGACTAGACAGTCACCTTGCTGGGGTCACCTGACCCCCCAGTTATCTTTCCTGCTTGGTGCAGGGGGCTGGACCCGATGATCTTCCAAGGTCACTTCTGGCCTTACAATCTATGAATCTATGAAACTGAAGAACACGGTAGTTTAAACTGAGGATAATCACACCTGTTTGAAGGAAAAGTACTAAATCCAAGGCAGTTTATTTCTTAAGCACACTAAAATGAAGCATTGATACTTTCCAATACAAAGTATGGCAAAGGGTTTTACAAAGATGGACAAGTCCTATTAACCCTGTTTTTTGGATGAGCAACCAGACCCAAAAGTTAAGGAAAACATTTATACAAGCAGCCTCTGGTTTTGAGTTCCTAAATTCCAAGTGCCATGGACCTCATCTCCAGACCAAGCTCCTAAACACTGAGATACACTGTATGAAAAAGCACCATGGTAACAGCCAGGAAGAGAGCCCTGATCATCTGAGTTCCAAAACTTTTCCCACTTCTCTCACATGTGAAATATATCTATTTCTACTTTCAAAAAGTTAAATGATATCACCTCATGAAAGCCAGAAGAGTGCAAAAAACTGCATGCTTCTTAAGAAAATCAGAGCACATCTAACTCTCCTCAATTTAAATAACTGACATAGGGGATTTCAAACCACTACTTTAAAATGTGTAAATAACTAACAAAACAAAAAAATGAAATGCAGAAGGAAACAGAACTCCTTCTGGCAAGAAAATTACTAAGCCTTGAAAGCCATGTTATGAATATGTATAAGCTAAAATGTAACTATCAATTTGAAAAGTATACAAACTCACTCCTCCCTAGCCTATCCTAAAATTTCCTTTTTTGACACAACACGCAGTAAAGTGGCCACAGGAAACCCAGTCTTGTGACAGATGAAGCAGCAGAGGAGTTAAATCAGAACTAAACTTCCAAATCTGACCTTTTTGTAACATACATGAAGGACAACATACCTAGTTTGATTCAACTGGCCAAATCTTAGCATATGCTATTGGATAAACACCTAAAATTTAGTTAATGCATTACCTTCGCTTTCACAAAAGGCAAAAGTTTGAATTTCAGTTAGGTTCAACTACTTTGTGCTCACTAAATCAGGGCTAAACACAATTAATTTTACTAATCCAGAAAAAGCCTGGCAGTTAAATCCCTTATATGTGCAGTTAAATACCTTAACCCAAAAGGTTGCTGTCACATGTCTATCTCCAAATTTTAAACAAACTACCATGCCAATGATGTACGATTGCATGCTTCATACAAATATCCTAAACCAAGGAGCGAAATGCCTGTCCTCACTGGAAGCTAGGAATTATGTGGCCATATTTGTACATGCTATTGGGACTTTTAAAGGACACAGCAACACAATTTAGGCTGCCAAACAGATTGAACTTCCTAACAAATATCATAGGAAAAACCCAATACTATTTACAACAAACGCTGCAGCTCTGAGCTGGAATCTGACAGGCCGCTCCATGAGCACTTCTGTTTTGGCCTTGAAGTTTTGGCCTCTGGGCTGTCACCCTCAGCCACCCCAATCCCCTGCCAAATCCTTTTTCTGTCTAATATACACCCTCCTACTCTCACAGAATTAAATTTACCATTACTACATGCAACCTATGCCTGGCTGGCTACATCACGAGGAACCATGTACTGATCTGCCTCATTACAACCACAGCTATCCACCAGGCACAACATCACATCTGCTCCCGGTACAATGCTGGTGCCTATGGCCATTGGGAAAGCGGAGGAGGTAACATCCAAGGCTATTCCAGCCAGGCTGGGGACACTGAAGTCAGCAGAACTCAGCTGTGTGTGGCACTACGTGGCACACGTCTGGTTATAGCAAAAGGAAGCACAGGAGAACCACCCAGTCACTATGCACATAGCCCATATCTACTTTCTTGCGATCATGCTGTTCCCAGCAGGAACCCAACCTGTGCCCCAAGGCTGGAGGAACCAAGACATGCTGGATTCCCTGTGCACACGGGCTTTACAACTCAGGGCCCTGCTCAAGGTTGACAGCAGTCTTACATCGTTTAGATGAATCATAGAAAGTTACGCTTGGAAGGGATCTCAGGAGGTCGCACCTAGTCCAAAGTAGGACCATCCTCAACTACATTATCCCAGCCAAGGCTTTGTCTAGCTGGGTCTTAAAAACCTCCAAGGATGGAAAGTCCACCACCTCTCTGGGTCACCTGCTCCAGTATTTTACTACCCTCCTAGTGAGGAAGTGTTTCCTCAGATCTAACCTAAACTTCCCTTGCTGCAACTTGAGCCCATCGCTCCTTGTCCTGTCACCGGCCACCACTGAAAACAGCCCCACTCCGTCCTCTTAATGGAGCCTCTTAATACAAACCACAACCGTGTGAATAGGATGGTCTGGGTAGGGCTGACCCTGCCTCAGGCAGCAGGTTGGACTACACCAGTGGTGCTCAGCCTGTTTCGTAATGGGACCCATCCGTGGGCAGTCCCAACCTGGTGACCCTCACTCCCACCTCCTGCCCCCAGCACCCGTGTGGGGCAGGGGGGTCCCAACACCCCTTCCAGGGCTGCACCCCACCTCTGCCAGCCTGCAAGGGACAGCTTTCCCCTTTAAAGGATAATTCATAGATGGAAGGGACCTCGCGAGACCATCAGGTCCAGCCCCCTGCCCCATGCAGGAAAGACAACTGGGGTGAGGTGACCCCCGTGGCGACCATCCAGTTTCCTCTTGAAGATTTCCAGGGAAGGCAATTGCACCATCTCTGGAGGAAGCTTATTCCTCCATCGAGATGCCCTGACTGCGTTGGAGCCCGTCCTAGAATCAAGCCCGAATCGATCCTCCGGGAGTCGGCATCCGTTACCCCAGGGCTGCCCCGGGTGAACGGCTGCTCGCCGAGCTCTCGATGAAAAATGAGTGTTTGTGACGTTTTCATACGTTCTTCCAACCCAGTTTTGTGTCACGACCCCCAGGGTGAGAAATGCAGGGCCCGGCCAATGCCTCTATTTGGGGCCAGGAAGGACTTCGACGCCCGGGCCCAGCTCGGGGCAGACCCTGAGGAGGAAGGCTCCAGCGACCTCCGAGGGGATGTGAATACCAACAGCGGGATGCTGGCACCGAGGCCAAGGCTGAGTTTCGGGGAGGGCTCGTCCAGGCCTCGAGGCGCTGGGTGACCGCGGGAGCTCCCTTCCCCACGACCACGCGAGCATTTGGCGCTGCCCATCGTGCTGGAGCCGCCGCCCGCTTGCGAGACGGTCCCCCGGGCGCCGCCCCCGGCTGAAGGGCGCGCGGGCCCTGTCAGGCCCGGCCATGACTCAACCCAT